ATATCAGAATAAATAATATATATTTCATTTGATTATTTACTTTAGCCCTTTTTTTAAAATTAGTTTATTGTCTTTAATTTTAAAAACTATAATCAATTTTTTTTAATTATTTTATATTATATATTAAAAATGCTTACAAGCTGAATTTGAATAAGGGAAAAAACATAAAATATATCTATTAAAAAAAATATTATACTTTATAATTTAATTAAATTCGTCATAAAGGAAATGTTTTTAAAAAGGGTTTAAATACTAGTTTATCTAGCGAAATTATGTTTACTAAATTAAATAATTATATTTTATTTTAACCTAAAATAAAAAATATAATATTTTATATATAAAAAAAATAAAATAAAATGATTTAAAAATTATATCAATTAAATAGGAATTTTCTTTTTAATAAAACATTATCATTTTTTTCAATAAAATAAACAAATAAAACTTTATTCTAAATTTAATCATCAAATTAAACAAAAAAATATAAAATATAATTAAAACCAAAACGATAAATTGGAAATTATTAAAACTAACTAAATTAAAATGAAGAGCTATAAATAAACCAAAAATTAGAAAATGAAAAAGTTAAAGATAAAATAATATTATAACCATAAAAATAAAATAAATTTAAATAAAAAAATGCGAATTAAAAAGAATTTTTATAAATGCAACATAAAAAAGAAAATAATAAAAACTCAGATTTTCAAAAATAATAAAGCAATATTAGTTATAATTAAAAAAATGAATAAATTTACTTTTCTACTAATAAAAAAGATTTTAAAAATTAACATGATTATTAAAAATAAATAAACTAAAATAATAAAACAATCAAAATTGAATAAACAGAAATATTATCATAATAAATTTCTAATGATTTATAAGATAACATACATAAATAGAATAAATTATAATATAATAAAAATGCTGTAAACTAAAAATAATAGTAAAATAATTAATAAAAAAGTAATTATACTAATTAATAATTATAAGAAAAATTAATATAGCCTAAAAAATAGCAAAATAATCAAGATGTAAATTAAATTGATTTTAATAAAAAAGAAGAAAATGTAATGAATTATATATAGAGAATTTAAATTAAAAAAAATATAAAATAATAGTAAAACAATTAATAAACTAAGAATGAAAAAAATAAATATGATTTAAATAATTAGCTTTAGAATAAATAATTATTAGATATATAATACAGAAATAATATTTTAAAAACTAAATAATAAATGAAAGAAATTGAATAGAATTAAGAAAATAATAATAAAAAAAAATAAGTAATTAATTATAACAATTATACATAAAAATAATATATATTTAAAAATGAAAAAAAGCATAATTTTAAAGACATTCTTCTATAAAAGATAATTTTAGATAATGAAAATAAAATGAAAAACCCTAAAGGTGATTAATTAAATTTTGAATTCGAAGAATATTGGTCTTTAGAGAAAATAAATCAAGAAATTTTAAATGGAAGCGCTTTAAAAGTTATATAATATTTTTTGTATAATAAATGTAAAAAAAAAAATTAAAAAAGGGAATTTTCATTCGAAACGTAAATAATAAATAATTAGGCAACATATAATCCCCTTATTTAACTGAAAATGCACAAATTAACTCTTTTTCAAGCTAAAATAGAGCTTTACACCGATGTGTAGTAGGATTTACAAAAATTAAACTAATAAATTAAGAAATAGAAGATTATAAAATAGTACATATATTCGAAAATCCATATAAGGAAAAGCGAATTATTGGCTATTTAGAAGAGTATGAAAGTGGAAAATTTTTTTTTATCCCTAAAGATATTCGATTACCGAAAATGATTGTAAGTTCTTTTTCGGAAAATTTAAAATCTTTTTTACAAGACTTTGGCATTGATATAAAAAATAATATGTAAGTGGAATTATAAAAGGTATATTTTCTATTTTTTAATTTTCTATAAATAATTTTATTTATTTTTAAAAACTCAATCAAACAAAAAGTGTATATTTTTCTCACCTTTTTTTTTATTGATTGAGTTTATAAAAAAAATTACAAAAAAAATTTATGCAAGCTATATTTTTTTATGATTAAATATATAAAAAAAAAATTAAGAGCATAAATAAAATAAATTCTATCGTGATTTTGAAATATTAGAATGTATAGGTGCTTAAGGAGATATAGAAATAGAAACAAATATTCTTTTAGATGAAACTGAAATTTTAAGAGAAGATTTTAAGCCATAGACATAAGAATATTTAACTTAATTAAGAAAATAATTAAACAAATAAGGTAAATTTATAATTGGAAAATCACAAAGAGAAAAAAGATGGGATTTAACAAAAGAAATAATCTTCAGTATAGATCCTGAAGATGCAAAAGATTTGGATGATGCCTTAAGTATTAAAAGAATAACAGATGATAAATACGAAATAGGGGTACATATAGCTGACGTATCTCATTTTGTAGAAGAAAGTAATGTATTAGATGATGAGGCAAGAGCAAGAACTACATCAATATATTTAGTTCATAAAGTAATACCTATGTTACCTCATATTTTATGCGAAAATTTATGCAGTTTAAACCCTAATGAAGAAAGATTTGCATTTTCAGTGTTTTTTTAAATAAATGAAAATGGAGAAATGTTATGGGATGAGCCAATTAGAATAGGAAAAAGTATAATTAATTCATGTAATAAGTTTTCTTATGGAATAATATAATAAGTAATAGATAAGAAAATAAGTTCATATAAATAATTTCCAAACGAAAATAAAGTAAGGGAAGACATAAATGGGGGAAGAAATGTTCGAGAAAATAAATTAATTGATAAAAATAGGATTAAATAGACGAAAAAAACGATCTGAAGAACAATTCTTATGTTTTAGTAAAAAAACAAGAAAATTTTTGTTAGAAAAAGATACTTATTAACCCAAATCATATTATATTTACGAATAAAAAGAGTCGAATTAAATAATTGAAGAGTTTATGCTTTTGGCCAATATTATTGTGGCGAAAAAAGTAAGCTCAGTTTTACCCGAAATTTCTGTTTTAAGGTATCATTAAAAAGAAAGTGATTAAACTAAGATTAAGTGTTTTTTAGATATTATGTATAAATTTAATCATTAGAATTTTGATTTTTCATCACTTGAAAGTATTATTTAAAGTTTCGATACACTAAAAAATGATCCCTAAATTTCACAATTGTAATTGTAGTTTATTAATTCATAAATATTTTAATTAATTAAGTAAGCTTAGTATTTTCTTTCTGCTAATAATCCTATTGAACTTTGGTAGCATTTTGCTTTAAATTAACCTGTTTATACACATTTTACTTCACCAATTAGAAGATATCCAGATATTATTGTGCATAGAACTCTCGATTTAATACTTAAGTATGGTGATAAAGCTGGAGATTATATTAATGTTTAAAAAATTGCTGAAATTATTTAGAAATGTAATGAAATGAAAGCTAAATAAAAGTTAGTTTCTTCAAAATGTGAAAAAGTTTTAAATTTTTAATTATTTGTATTTTTAATTTTTTTTTAAAAAAAAAGATTTTTATGTGTATTTATCTAAAAAATAATTAACCTATAATTTCAAATTGTTTAGCTACATAAATAGATAGACATATAATGAATGTTTTTGTTGGTGAAATCGATCAAAATTTTGAAATTAAATATGAAGATTTTAAAAATATTTAAAAAATTGAATATAAAAAATTATAAATAAGAAGCTAGGTTTTTATTACTTTCTAAACTAAATAAATGATGAATCCTTATACATTTTAATTAAATGTATTTTTTATGTTTTTTTTATTATTTTTACCTTTTTTTATTAAGGAAATGGATTAATTTAAAGTTAGAATCACAGCAAATGATGAATAACCTATTGATTATAAGATTAACTTAATGTTTCCTATTTAATAAGGAGACTAAGTAGAATATATTATGATTTAATGAATATTATATTTGTAATAAATATATTTTTTTTCATTTATTTTAAGGTCTAATTAATAAATTTTTAATCTATTTTTAATATATTTTAAATAATTTTATATTAATATTACAAAATAATATAAAAAACATGAAGTAATAATTTTATTATAAAAATAAATTCAATTTAATAACAAAAATAGTCAAAATGCAGATTAATATGTTGCAGCAAGAAAAATTGCATTAGAAAAAAAATTAGTGGAAAGCGGGGAGGAATAAAAGTTTTTTTTAAAAAATAAAAATTTGAATTAATAACTTTTTATAGATTAGAAGATTATTTAAGAAATAAATTAATTGAATCAGGATGGAAAGATGATTTAAAAAAATATTGCAAAGGTAAATCTAAAAAAAAGAAAAAAATAATATTTTATTTTCAAAAAAAGAATTGATTAGAAAAAAAGGTTTAGAAAAAGTTACTATTGATGAATTGGTAAATGAATTAGTAGAAAGAGGTATTAATTATAATTCAGTAAAATATTTAAATATATAAAAAGGTAGAAATACAGTTTCAAATAAAATAAAAGAAGATTTATTAGCAAGGATAAAAAATTATTTCGAAGATGAATAAATATGAAATTTAGTATATATTAGTTATTCATAAATTAATTCTGTATTTATTTTAAAAACTCAATTAAAATGTAAATAAAAAACCAAAGAAAAATGGATAATGGCCTTTTATTTTATTAATTAAGTTTTCAAAAAAAAAAAAAATACAGAAAAAGTAATAAAATCTATAAACAAGTAATATATGTGTTATAATAAATGATAATTAAATTTCTTTTTTTATAAAATTTAAAAAAAAGAAATGCATATATTAAAAAACTGCATAACAACAAAAACTAAAATCTTCTTATATTAAAAAAAAAAAAAAATTAAAACAAAAAAAATTAAAACTAAAAAAACTATAAAAAATGAATGAAAATTCTCAACTAACAATTGGAACAAATTCAAAAAATATTATACCTTTTGATTCAATTTTAAGAGAAATAGGAATAGGTCCATACCAATATATATTTTATTTTATAATAACTGTGATAGCAATGACAGAAGGTTCATAACTTACAATTTTTACATTAACTATTCCCATATTAAAGCATTAATGGTAAGTAGAAAATTATCTTAACAGTATATAAGCAAGCTTAGTATTTATAGGTATTTTAATAGGATCATTAATAAGCGGATAGATAGCCGATACGTTTGGTAGAAAAAAGCCTTTTTTAATATCTTCAACAGCTTTAATAATTGTAATTTTCGTTTAAGTATTATGCACATCAATAATTTAATTAATAATATTAAGAGGGATTTTAGGAATATTAGGTATAATAAAAAGATATAAATAATAAATCTTTTTTAAATAAAAAAAGTCGGCTTTTTTGCACCTTTAGGAGCTTCAATGGTAACAGAAATAACTCCAGATTAATATAGGGCAAAAGTAATGTGTTTAGTTTAATTTAGTGTAAGCATAGGATAAGTATTAGGATTGACAATAGGATATTTTACATTGAAGGATTTAAAAGATGGAAATTGGAGGTTATTGATAATAATTTCAGGATTTCCGGGTTTAATAGCTGTTGCTGTTGCTTTATTTTTTGTGGATGATTCGGCACGTTTTTTAATGTGCAGTGGATAATTTGAAAATAGTTTTAAAATTTTGGAAAAAATGAATACGGATAACGGAAAATAAAATTTTGAAGAAATAAGTGAGGAAAAAAAAGAAGGATTGAAATTGTGGTCAAATAAATTAAGCGAGAGTTTGAAAAATACTCATGTTAATTTATAATCACTTTTTAAAGGAGATTTCGGACTTATTACGCCTATTATATGGTGGAATTGGTTTGCTTTGTCATTTACATATTATGGAATTTTAATTCTATTGCCAACTCTATTAGATAAAATATCATCTTAAACATAGTAAGAAGAAAAAATATAATTTTAGTCAAGTGAATTTGATATTTTAAAACTTATTTTATCATCTTTGACTGAAATGTTGGCTTGCTTTCTTGCTGCTATTATGGTAGATATAAAAGGATTAGGTAGAAAAAATTCAGTAATAAATTTTTCGATAATTCTTTTTATATCACTTTTTATGTGTTATTATGATACTACTAGTAGATTTATATTTTGGTCCTCTCTTTCAAAATTTTATATACTTATGATAACTATATTTAATTTTTAATATACTTGTGAAGCCTATTTTACCAAAATTAGAACTACAGGACTTGGTATTGCTAATGGAGTTGGAAAATTTGGAGGTGTTTTAATGCCTTGGATTTGTAATTAACTTTCTGAAATTGATCTTCTGTCACCTTTTTTACTTTTTGCTTTTATTACTTTGATTATGGCTATACTTACTATGTAACTTCCTTTTGATACTTTGGGAAGAGAAATTGATAAAATTGATGATGATAAAGAAAAAGTTGAATGAATTTTAAATTTTTTTAGAATTTATTTGCATTACAAAAGTATTTTTTTTTAAAAAAAATTATTTTTTATTTTACTTTATATATTTCCTAGTTATTTTTTTTATGTATAATAGTTTTTAAATGTATTTATTTTATATGAAACATATTAGTTTAGTTTTAATTGTGTCATTATAAAAGAATGTTTTACTAAATATGTTCATATACTTCAATTACTTTTATAATAAAAATATATAAATTTAAAATAACATTATTAAAAATATAATTAAAATAAATATCGCATTCCTAAACTTATTCTTTGATAAGATAAAAACCTTTAATAAATATATGCTAATTTTAAGTTTTTAAATAAATAAAGAAAGGCTTTTTATCCTTAAAAAATATGTTTATTATATTTTATCATTCTTTTCAAAATTTTTTTCAATTATGTTTTTTTCAAAATACAATAAAAAACAATAAGAACATTTAAGATTCATTATAAAAACAAGATTTTGTTAATACTACAGTTTTAAAATAATTCTAATAACAAAAAAGTTACTTATTTTTTAAAAAGTCTTAAAATATAAAAGTTAAATTTAATTAACCAAAATTATATTATCCTATCAATAATTTAGGACATTTTTTTTATTAAGAAAAAAAATATTTCAAAAAAATAAAATTGAATTTGTCCAATCAAAATTCGTAAACGCAATAATGCTCTATTTTAAATATATTTAAAAATTGTTAAATTTTTCTCTTAATTAATTTATTTTTCGTTTCTAAATTTTATACTTTTGTTTGTAAAATATTTTATAAATTAAGATTTTCTAGGCTCTTTTTAAATATATAATTACTATTTGTTTCATTTTTTTACTTTTTAATTTTAATTCACATAAATCTTCAGAAAAATTTTAATGTTAAAAAAATGTTTAAACTTAGTGTATTTAAATGATAAATTAATATGTAGTTTTTTTATTGGAAAATTATAAAATTACTGATTTTTATAAATTAGATTATTTCTATTTTTTTTGTAATATTAAATATTGTTTTTTTTGATTTTCCCTATAAAGTTTTGTTTTTTAAATTATTTATTGGTTTAAAAAATATAATATTTTTATTTTTACAATCTATTTTTTTTTTTATTGATTTAAAGAAACATTTTTAAACCTTAAATTCATTTTATTAACTTGCTAATCAACATATTTAATTAAATTATTATTTCAAAACAAGAAGCTTCTATTAATTTATAAGATTAGGAAAGTAATAATTTAATTATTTTTTAAATTTTTTGTTATTAGTTTTATCTCGATGTTGACATTTATTTTTATTATTGTTATGTTGCCATTTATATTTTTTATTTTTTCAAATATTTAATGTTAAAGTGTTTAAATCAAATATTTACTATTTTATTATTTCATTTTATTAAATTTTAATTGTTTTTGCATTTTATGTTAAAAATAAATAATATTTAATTGTTTGTTTTTATATTGATATTAATTTTTTTTAATAAAAATAATTATCATATGTTTATTTATATTTTTTTAATCGATTTTATATTTTAATCTGTAAATAAATTATTTATATCATTAAATATTTTAAACAAAATTTTAATATAAATTTACAAATTTTATATAAATAAAAAAACTACTAATATTTAAGCTATGATTTTTTTTTTAAAAAAAATTCAATCTAATTCATCCATTCCAGAGAATTTTCTTTTATTATTTTATTTTTGACTTTTATCTAATTATTATTAAAATTATATTTGTTAGAATTTTTGCAAGGCTTATGGAAAATACTATAGATTAATAATACTAATTTTAATTAAAGTATTGCTAATTAAATAAAATATTTTATTCTTATGATGTATATAAATTTTATTAACCTAATTATTAATTAGTTTAAATTTGTTATTAAAAATTATTCGAACCCTATGGATATAAATAACTATTATTCTAATATAAAATATTATTATTATTTTTTTAAATTTGATTAGATTTTTCTTCATCTTGAATATTTTAAATATTATTTTCTATATTATTCTATTGACATAAATTTTCATTAGATTTCTGATTATTAACTTGAATAAGTTGATTTGTTAAGAATTATTAAGTGGAAATTTATTAATAAGCATTTATTTTACTTCTTAAATATTAAATTATTTATCTTTATTTTTTTACATAATATTTATTTAGATAAACAACTAATTACAAATGTTATTAATAACTGAGATTTTAATTAAAGTAATTAACTAAATTATTCATACTATTATCATTTAGTTCATCTTTACTTTATTAAGTTTAAGATGATTATACTTCTTATAAAACATCTTCTTCTTATTCTATTTAATTATTATCTATTTATTCTAAAATATTTTTTTATTTAGTAAATATTATTTATTTATCTAAATTTTGTTATTGTTAGAAATTTTCATTAATTAGTTTAATTTCTTTATTTTCAAAAAATTAGAATAATTCTTAAAAAGTAATTCTTTCAGACTCTTCAACTTTAAGCATTTTTTAAATTAAACTTTTTGTTCTTCTGCTTACTTTTGGGTAATCAGGAAATCTTAAAGATTTTTTTAATATATTATCTAATAATTCAAAATATCCGTTTCCTTCCCAAGCTTTTTTTCCATATAATAATTCATAAAAAATCATTCTTTTATTTTTATATAAAAAAAGATATTATTATTTAAAAATTAAATAAAAACCCTAATGACCATATATCTGTTTTTGAAGAATAATTTTATTTTTATAAAATCTAAGGTGACATATATGAAGGGGTACCAACGAAAGATAAAAGAATAGGTTTATTCATTACTTCTACAACTGTAGAAAATCCGAAATCACCTATTTTTATAAAATTATTATGCAAAAGGATATTTTCAGGTTTTAAATCTCGATGAACTATATTATTTTAATTTAAACATTTAAAACCTTCTATTATTTAACTCATATAATTTATACAGGCACTTTCTGTACGATTTAATTATTTTTTTATATAACATTCTAAATTTCCTTAATTACAATATTCTACTATTATGTAAAGATTTTTTTCTGTTCTTTTTTTTTTTTTTTTTTTGATTAATTTTTTTTTTTACTTTATAACATTATATAATTAAACAATGTTTTTATGATGAAGCACTTACATATTTTTTATTTCATTTTTTAGTTTTGGAATTATTTTTTCTGGCATGGTTTAAAATTTTTCTAATGATACCGCTTTTATTGCAACTTATTTATTACTTTTTATATCTTAACCTTCATATACACAACCAAACGTACCTTTTCCTAATATTTTATCAGTAAACATTTAATAATTTTGAAGGTTTTTTATGTTTTTTTTGTTCATCATATAAATATATGATTAAAGTATACCTATGAATTTATTATTATTTATAATAATTTTTTTTTTCTTTAATAATACAAATTATATAAACATATGAATATATTAATAATTATTATTTTTCTTTTTATTAATTGAAAATTTAATTGAAATCGAATAAAATATATTTTTAAATTTTTATTTAATTTCATAAAAATATTTATATTTTATCTTTTTTTTTTTTAATTTTAGTTTTTATAAATTTTTTAAAAATTATTTGCTATTTTATATATATATTTAAAAATTTGAATTAACTTCATATTTTTAAATCAATAAAAGTCTAAAAATAATATTCTATGTATTATATTTTTTATTAGTTTCTTTATTTAAATAGATAAATAAAAGTTAATCAATTTTATTTTTCATATATATAAATATATCCTTTTCCTAAAAATGGTTCTACAGCCTAAGCAACCTTTTCATCATTATAATAAACCCATTAATTATCTTTTTTAATATAACAAATATAATGTCCTGCATGTACACTTTTTCCAAGATGAATTATAGCAGCTTAATAAAAATAATATATATATATATATATTTAAATATACCTTTTAACTTATATTAACATTAATTTATATCATTAATAGTTATTCCAGCATTTAGTTTACTATTATTATTTTATTATTTTTATTCTTGTTCTTCTTCTATAAAATATTCACCGTTAGAAAGAGCATCTAGTGTTAATTCAACATTATTATTCTTTAAAAAAAATATATATATATATAAATAAAATAAACTAAAAAATTTACATATTTTTTCATAGCTAAAACAATTTAATCGAAATTAAATCCCATTGAAGTAAGTAAATCTACTCCTTCCTAATTTGGTATTAATTAATTTTATTTTTTACTTATAATAGGTAAATCTAATGAAGAATCATCTATTTTTTCAAATAGGTAATTCATTGCATTTTCAACATTGTTTTTGTGTTTAATAAGTGCCCTTTTACATCTGTTTTCCCCAAATCCCATTTCTAATAATTATTAAAGAGCCTAATTATCAACTTATACATCGTCTTTATTTTAATCATCGAGTACTTTTTCCCCTTATTCTATTATATTAGGTTTCCAAATACTACCAATATTAAGTTCTATATCCATTTTTATATTCGCGTTAAGTTTTTTTGGGACCCAGTTTTCCAAGTAGAGTCTTTCAGTGGGCATAATGAGGTATTTAGGTACAGTTTTTAAATAGAAGTTGGATTTAAATTATTACATTTTTCCACAAAAAGAGCAATGGCTATCTACAAAATCACCCTAAACTAATTAATCAAAGCAAACTGAGAATTATACGTCGTACTCTGGATCTTCTAATTATTTAGAATCTTATTTATTTTATTATAAATCTTTAATGTTAGGCTTTATAACAGGTAATTTGATTTCATTAGTGATGTATTCTGCTATTTTTACACCTCCACATGATGTACATTTAAGTTTATTTACTTAAATGAACTCAAAAATTTTAGAAATTTCTTTATTTTCTTTCCCTATAAGTTCAAATACATATTATAAATATTCCAATGCATCTTACATTTATTAAGTTTTGAATTCAGGATGATCTTTTCCTATAAGATATCTCAAATCATTAATTTTAACACCGTCTAAATATTCGCCAGATGCTAAACCTTGTCCTAATTTTGCTAATTGACAAACAAGGCATTAAGCAGGGAGTTTTTGGCAATTATTTACATGATCTAAGTTCATATTGAAGCTATTTTAGAATTCTTGGAATGCAAAAAGAACTTAAAAAACAGAATTTATATAACATGAGTTACCTAAATTTACCATTCCAGTAAATCCAGGGCCTTTTAAAGGTAAAAGTTTTCTTCCTTCTTCAATAATGCTGGAAAGCATTAAATTTTTGTTTAAATCTAAATTCATTTCTATTACTGATTTTTCTGTTTTTTGTTAATCATTTACATTTATTCCATAAAAAAGTAAACGATTTACTAAATTAGGGTCAGAAACGTCATTATTGCATGCATAACAATATATAGAAGCATTTCCTTTTAGTAAAAAAAATAAAAAATATAATTTATAATTAATAAACCTTCAGGAGTAATTGTTCCTAATTTTACAACTATAGGATGAATAGTATTTTAAAAATGATCAATAGCATGATTGTTTCCTCCAGAACCATCGTAATTTTTTCTTCCACAGCCTATATGTCCGCAAGTTAAACAAAGCCATAGATTTGCAGATAGATCGCATGAAAAACAATAAGAAAGTGAATAATTTTAAGGAGGCTTTTATTACTGCAATGATAATGTATGTTCACATGGTTCTATTTGTAATTCCCATTCACATATTTGGTTTTTTCGAAAAGCTGAATCAGCTTATTTTATACTATTAATGAGACCATGAAGCTATTAAATATATATATATATATATATATATATATATTTATATATTTATATATCTATATATTTATATAATTTTAATTTTTTATATATTTATCTATTTTTTAATTATTTTTATTTTATATTTCACTTATTCATTATCTAAGTCTTTCTTACATATTAAGCATTTTAGTTAATAAAATATGTTATACTCAGTTTCTTCTAATTAAGCTCCTCCTGGTTTTCCTATCGCTAATTTTGTTATTTCAGGTTATTTTTCAGATTCAGATTTAGGTTTTTCTACCATTTTTATATTTAATACTAATGGATGGTTATTTTTTGTAAATGAAATTCTGAATGATTCTTTTAGATGCATTATCCATTAAAACATTTTAAACATAAATCAAGGCCGGAAGGATGCCTAGGATCATGAAAGCATTTTGTGCATTAGTCTTTATATATATATTTGTTTTATAGAGACTGAGTATAGTTTTCTTATTTTAAATGAGGGCACGAATTTTACATGGATTGATTAATCTCTTTATTTTTTTAATCAAAGATTCTATTCTTAATTTTTTATTTTCTATTTTTTTTATTAATATCTAAATTATTAATATATTTTTTATTATTTTTTTAGTTTATATAAAAATATAAAATACTATTTTTTAATTATAGAAATTTCTAATACTACAAATATCATAATTATAACTAACTTTATTATATTTTTTATTTCAAATATATAAACTTTAATTCTTTGATAATTAAATTATAAAATTTAGAATTTTATATAAATAATATATTTTTTAAACTATATATGATTTTATATTTAAATTAATAAGATATTACAAACAAATTAAATTTTGTATTATTATATATAGTAATTATTTTATATAAATCCGTTTTCATGTCATTTTATTTTTTTTGAGTAAATTTTAATATTTATGAATAATTAGATATGTTTTAATTTTATAATGTTACAATTTTTATAAATAAATATTTTTAAATAAAGTATAACAATTTAAATATTATATATTTCAATCTATCTTTGAATATTTTTATTATCTACTTTTTATACTTTTAGATAAAAAATATTATTTAGATATAATATCTTAACTATTTTAATCAATACAATTTAATGAATACTCATTTTAAAAATAAGTTTAAACGAATAAATAAATAGATTGCAAAATATTTTAAATAAGTAATTAATTTTTTAACATAATGCATATTGATACTTATTATTATTATTAATTAAACTATTTTTAATATAAATTAATATAAATTATTTTATACATTTTTAAATAAAATTAGCAAATACACATTTAAATTTTAAATTCTTAATTAATTGAATAAAAAAAAAATATTATTTAGTTAAAATAATTTTAATCATCATATTTTTTAATATTTCAAATAAAAATATAAAACAAAATATACATAAAAAATAAATTATTATTATTTTTAAATTTAATGTTTTATAATAAAAATAATTTACTAAATGCTATCTAATTTAAATTTAATATAAGTATTTTCAAATTCAATTTTTTACTAAATTATATGAATTAAAATAATATTATTTTATTTTCTAGTTAATCTTTAATTTAAATTTGCAAATTTATTTTGACTTTAAATTTTAATGAAAAAATGCTTAAAATAAGAATCATAACTAGTAAATTATAATTATAAAAAAATTATTATTTACTTATATAAATAATTATATTTTTTATTTTATAAAAAATAATTTAAAATTTAAATTTTTCTATTATAATTAGGTAGAATTAATATGAAAGCTATATGTTTTTAGAAATATACTATTGCAATCGTTTATTAATGTAGATAAATAAAAATAATTTAGCAATATATTAAAATATAATCGTATAAATATAAATATGGCATAAAAATAAATGATTATTCTATTCACAGTAGAAAAATAAAAAAGCTGTTAATTTGGTTTAAAATAAATTATACTTCAAAATTTTAAATATCTTATAACAAATATTAAAAATTTATATAATCATATTTAAAAATATAATTATTTATACTGTTATTATAGAAATTCTTAATAAGTAATTCTTATATAATTTAATTGATTGTGAATTAATTTAAAATTATTTTAATTTTTGAGTATAAATGGTATATTTTTATTTTTATTAAAGTGGACAAAAAAGAGAAAAACTAATATATTTATAAAAAGAAAATAAAAAATAATAATTTTATAAATTTAAATTTTTTATATTTAAAAAAAAAAACATTTATAATAAAATAAATATACCTAAAAAAATAAAAAATAAATAAATAAAACTATTAAATATGGAAAATTAATTTAATTTTTATTCATCAAACGTATCTATAAGTAGCAGTCCAGCATCTTTTTCAGATTCTGAAGATTTAAAATATGAAGAAAATAAAGAAAACTTTTTTAATAATTAATATTCAAACTAAAATTAAGCAAGAAATTATAATTCAGTTCGAACTCCTCTTTAAATTATAGAAACCCCTATAATATAAACAACTCCTTTTTAAACAGAAGATGTTATATAACCTTAAAGAGTTATCCAATAAATAAAAAGCATAAATTAAAAATAAAAGAATTTACCAAAAGCCAGACAATTAAGATGAAAAAAAAAATTAAAAATAATTATAATAATTAATAAATATCTAATTTATATTAATTAATATTTTTACTTTATGTATAAAATTTTTTTAATTTTTTTTGTTGATAATAAAAAAACTAAAAAAAATTAAGAACTAAAAAAAAAAAAAATATGAAAATAATTACAGGCGATTCAACAGGTTTAAATAGAGTGGTAAATGTAGAAAATTAGCAAATAATATCTACATTCGGAACTTAAGAAAAAGACAATGAACAAGATTTCTTAAAATTTCTTTCATCAGAGCAATTAATTCTATCAGCAAGTGCACAAGGATAACTCTAATTAAACGAAATAGATGAAAAAGGTAATTTTGAGAGGTTAGTAACAATGCAAACTTATAATAACAAACAGAAATAGAAATTAGTTAGTATGAACATAACCAAAGATAATAAAATACTTTTGACATTTGATAATAATATCACTGAGAAACTTTCATATGATTTCTAAGAAGAAACATTTTCGAACTTTGAATAAATATATAATGCTAACTAAAAAAATATTTAAAAATCTATTTTAGATAATTTAAATGAAAATCATCTACTTGTTTTAGCAAAAGATATAAATCCATAAATATATGATCTTGAAAGTGGAAAAGTATTTTGGAAATCAAGAAATGTAAAAAATGATTGGTTAGATCTACAGGTACCTATTTTTGATGTTGATGCAAGTTTTTTTGGTGAATTCAATTAAAATTTCTATACTATTAATGCTTAAAAAAAAATAAGAATATATGATATAAGATAAAATAACTCTTAGCCTTCTGTTGATTTTGAACATAATATTGCTTTTGATAAAACGGCTTTTAAGCAAATGCTTTTAAGCCATTGTTAAAATTATCTATTTGTCTCTACTGCTAAAGGAAACATATTTAAATTTGATACTAGAAAAAGTTTTTTTTATTTTTTTATTTATTTAAAAAAAAAAAAAAGATTTCTAAATGGTCCTAAATTTTAATGATTCTACAGGTAGTATTAAAAACATTCAATTACATCCTAACTTAGATTATATAGCTTCTGTTTCTTTAGATAGATATTTGAGGTTTTTTTTTTTTAATTATTTATTTTAAATCATTTATTTTTTAGAGTCTACGATATTAATAATAAAAATTATTTATATAAAATACATCTAAAATAAAGATTACATAGTGTTTTGTGGTCTTCTGAAAAAATTATCGAATAATAAGAAGGAGATGATTATGAAAATGAAAAACAAGATAGTTAGAATCCAATACAAGAAAGTAATGAGGAAGATGATTTTGTTAAAGAAGAAAACAAATAACTAAAAAAAGTGGAAAGAAGAGAATTGGAAAAGAAAAAGTAATATGATCAAGCCATTTAACATAAAATGAAATTTAAAAATTTAAAAAAACATACAATTTAATTATGTTATCTAAAGAAATAAAACAATGAATAAAAAAAAATTGATAGTAAAGAAGAAGAAAATAATTATTAAGTATAGGAATAAAATATGAAAAAATAAAAAAGATGAAATTTTAATATATATACATATAATTAATATCTTAAAATTTGTTTTTATGATAAACTATTTTAAATTATAAATAATATAGTTTGAATATTTTTATATTATAAATAATTATAATATACATAATAAACAAAAATATTTATAACCAATACAAAATAAAAAAAAAAAATTAAAATAATAATAATACATATAAATCTAACATATCAAAAAATAAAAATAAAATTAAATAGAATAGAATAGAATGTCCAAATATTTATACTCAATTTAAATAAAAAAATAAAGTTAAATTTGTAATCATCCACTTAATAATTCAGTATCTAAAACATAATATTCATTCCCAAAATCTCAAAGATTTAATCCATCAAAAACAAAGTAAAATAAAAAATAAATAAATATGGAAAATGAAAAAAGTAATATAATAAATTAGTTGTGATAAGGCCTTCTATATTATTCCAACTACTCTATCGAAAAGATCAGCAGGAATAGGTATAGGAAAAAAAATAGACTTTTCTTAAACTTAAATAGATGCCCCTTCACCAGGATCTTATAATCCAAAATCAGTTTTTGATCTTGAAATATCGATTAGTAAAGGAAAAAAGTTCGGACTTTCACGGGAAGTAATTTTATAAAAATAAAATAAAATTGAAATATAATAAAGAATGTTATCGACAAATCATATATTAAAAAAAATAATTATTTTGTCCCTGGACCAGGGCAGTATAAATAAAAAAGTTCTTTAACTAAATAAGCGTTTTCAATAAGACCAAAAACACCTGATATAAGTAAATAATTATTAAATTTCAATATTATTTTATATTTAAAAATATAATTATAGACAATCCAGTATTCCTTGGTGGTAAAAATGGATAACTTTAAAATCCGGGACCAGGCTATTATAAAACTTTTAATATAATAAATTAAAAAGGAAAGTAAATTATATCAAAATATGAAAGTTCGAAAGCAGCTTGTTTCAATCCACCAATATCGAACAGATTTTAATAAAAAAGTAAAAATAAATATATATATTAAAATGATGTTATATATATATATATATAAATATATATATATATATATATATATATATATATATATTTATATATATATATTTATATTTATATTTCTATTAATTTATATTCTATAGAAAATATTTTCCCTGGTCCCGCAACTTATCCATAAAAATCTGATTTAGAATTAATTTTAAGCAATTATAAAAATAATGGAAAATGTGTTATTTTACAATCCTAAAGATTTTCATTTACTTAAGATAGAGCAAGTATATGTATTATTATATTATTTTTTATTTTTAAATTATTTTTTTATTAGCACCAGGGCCTGGAAGTTATAGATTACCAAGTGATTTTGGTAATTATGAAAATATAAAATATAATATATAAAATAATACATTTTATAATAATAAATGTAATATTAAAACAACTTGATTATTTATAATCTGATTTTATTAGTATGAAAATTTCATGTTTTATGTTTTGTATATTTTATTATGTATTTTTTTAGAAAAATTGAATAATTATTATTATTATTAGATATACTTTTTTAGATTGTGTAAAATTTATAAATATAAATATTTATATAAAAAATTATTAAAAATAAACCAAAATTAAATTAAAACAAAATAAATTTTAAATATATTAATTTTATTGAATAATTTATTTTTAATCCAAATTCATTTTCATTATTATCTAATTTAATAAATAAAAAAATATTAATATATTTTTTTTTAAATGAGAATATATATTAAAATATAAATTTTTTTGTAATTATTCAGATTTTCCGTTTTAGATTTTCTTCAAATAAAAATCAGCCGAACGAGACATTTTATCATCAAAAAATAATTATTTAATTTTTATTTTTTATATAATTTTATTATTCTGTTATTTATAAATTTAATAATTAATTTTTAATTACTTTGATAAAGATTTCTAAGTTCTCAGTCAAATTTTTCTATCTTAATAGTTTTTCAAATAAGATTAATAGTTTAGTTATAATATTTCTAAGTTCTCAGTCAAATTATTTTAATTTTAATAGTTTTTAAGATAAGATTAATAGTTTAGTTATAAATACTTTTTTTGAAAATAATATTGTAAATATTTATTAAATATAAGAAATATATATTTTAAAATTCAGATTTAAGTTAAAAAGTTTATTTTCAATTTATTATTCAACGGTGTCAGAATATTGTCATCAAAATGTATATATATTTTAATTTATATATATTTTTTACAAATTATTAGAGAGAAAAAATATTAAATTTACGGATACTTCATAAAACCTTAAAAAAAAATATTTTTATAATTATAAAATAATATAAATAAGTCAGTCAAGTAGATTAACGTCATAGCTTTAAGCTCAGACGTCGTGAGACTATAGAATCATCAGTAATTAATATATATTATTATTATTTTACTTTTTTATAATTATTTCAACAATTTATCATTTTTTTTAATTTTTTAATTTTTTTAAAAATATTATATTAAAAAAAAGATTTGTCATTTTTTAATAAGTTATATTTATACTTTTTTAATTTTATACTATATCTATTTATTTTTAGTAAATTATAAAATTAAAATATAAGTAAATTTATAAAACATATAAAAATATTTGAATATTAAAAAATAATTTATTATATTATATTCTTTATTTTTAAAAGCTTTTTTTTGTATAATAAATCAATTATAAATAATATATATAATTTTAAATTATAATTATTTATCTTTTTATTCAATAATGATTTTTTTTTAAAAAAAATTAATCTTATTTATAATATTAATAAATTATTTTATAAAATCTTAAACTATAAAAATATAATAATAAATTGATGTATATTTACTTTCTCATTCTTAATTAATTCTTTAATTTACATAATATTTTCAAGTTATAAAAAAATATTAAAATATATAAATATTATTTTGTAAAACAATATTTGAAGTTAAAATTATAATGTTTTTAAGTTAAATAATTTCTTAATTTAAAGGTAAATTCATTAAGTTTAAAGTAAATTTTAGATATCATATAAATTGTAAATTTAATGTTTTAATTTGTCTAAATAAGATAAAAACTTAATAATTTGAAGCATTATTATTAATAATCGTTAAAATAATTTAAAAAATAAATTCTATTTATTCTTATTTAATTTTGTTTCATTTGATAAGTACTTTAATAATACTATAAACTACAAAAATATATTTTTAAAAAAAATCATTATTTAATATTTAAATTCTAAAAAAACTAAAAAAAAAAAAAATATAGAAAACCAATATATATAACATATTTTAAATTAAATTTATTTTTTTCATAAATCTTATTGTCATAAATAAGTTATATATTTTTAAAATATCTTTTTTTTAAAAAAAATGAATATTTAAATTTATTTTTTAATATTTATATAAAAAAAAAAATTAACTGAATTTAAAAAAATATATAAATAGAAAATCAGGAAAAAATAAATGAAAAATTTTAATAAAAAAAGATTTGATTTAAGAATTAGACTTCTTTATAAATTTAAAAATAAAAAATATAATTAAGATTAGCAATAAAAGATAAATTATAAAATCAATTATAAAAAATTTAAATATAATTTAAATTACAAAATTATTAAAAACAATTTAAATTTAGATAAAGTTTAAAAATATAATATGTTTTTATTAAAAAATATAAAATCAAATCAAAATAATAAAAAAATATTTATTTATTATATAGATAAATATAATTAATTATAATTAATTTAATTAAATTTAATTAAATTTAATTTAATTTAATTATTTATTTATTTATTTATTTATTTATTTATTTATTTATTTATTTATTAATTCTTTTTTTTATAATTTTTTATATTTAATTTTTTTTTTTTATCTTATATATATGATTTATATTTATTGCTTAATAATAATTTTTTAGAATTTTTTTTTGTAATATATTATCTAATCTTATTAATATAAATTATTTACTAAGGCTAAATATATTATATTTATATTTATTATATTTATAATTAATTTTTTTTACAGGATTTTTTTATTTAAAATAATAATTTAAAAAGCTTTATAATGTTAATTAGAAATTTAGTTTAAAGAAGATTTTGTTTCAATACAACAATAGAATAAATTTAAAAGAAAATATAAGAAAATAAATTAACAGAAGGATATATTCTGACCAAATTCGGTAATCCAAAATAAGAATTAACTTATGAATAAAAAAAAGATTTTTAAAATACAAAAGAGATTTTTTCAGAATACATAAAAGTTCTGAAGAATGTAAACAAAAACGATTTATAATATAAATCTGATAAAATATTTGAATGCAAATACACTAAAAATCACTTATAATCATAATTCTTATTAAGAAATGTTTATGGTTTAGGTTGGCTAGGAGTATCATATTATGTATTTAATCTATTAACTTTGTATTAATATGCAGCTATAGTTCCCTTATATTTTTCTTTAAAAAATTTTGGAAAATTAATAAATTACTATAAAGATTTCAAAAGTAATATTGCTTAAATAGAATTTGAAGATAAAGAAAAAGGTTTATTGAAAATTCATTTAGTTTATTCTCCAGATAAAAAACCTTTAATATGTCATGTAAACGATATTCATGTTTATCATATTTCTAATGACATTCTTAGAAGTGAATTATATGATTTAATTATATCCAAGGACTTTAATATTATGTTATCTAATAATAGTTCTAAAAACTTACTTCAAAATATACAAAAAAATATTCTTTATTATTTGAATGTAGTTGATGATAAAGGTAAAGAGAGAAATTTATAAATGTATATTTTACATCATATTGGAGCTACTTATGTAAGTAACTATAATTTACTGCTATCTCTACTCAATAATTAAAGCTTAGAGTAGTACAAAATTAATATAGAAAAAGAAGAAGATAGATTTCCTACTATAAAATAACATTATGAATAGATGGCTAAAGAAATTGATGAATAATACGAATAAGAAATATAACTAAAAACAGGAGAGCATGATAAATAAATTTAGGAATTGTAATAAATGCATGAAGAAATTGTTAAAGAAAATGAAAATTATAAAATAATTCAAGAATAAAACGAAAAAAACTAAGCATAAAAATAAAATCAAGACTAAAAATAAAACCAATGATAAAAAAATCAAAAGTTTTTTTGAATATATATTTTTTTTTTATTGCTATTATAGTATTTTTAAAACAAAACATTTTTTCTTTCAATTTTTCTATTAATATAATTATGTTTTTTTATTATAAATTGAAAAAAAAAATATATTTTATTATTATTATTATTTTTGAATTTGAATATAATAATTTATATTATAAAATATATTTTTTTTCATATATTAATACTTGGTAATTTAATATTTAAATAATTAGCTCTTTTTAATATACTCTAATCATTTTTTTTTATTAATTTAAGTTATTATAATTAATTCTAATCCATAGACTTTAGCATCTAATCTTAATTTTCATCCCATAGAATAGATTCATCTTTTGTTTCTAAATAATTTTCTAAATCATTCAAATCTCCTGAAACTTAACTTATAATTTTTGCCAAAGTAAATTTTGGTATTTTTTCATAAATTGAAATTAAATTTATGATAAAATCAAGTTCATTGGCATCTTATTATTTTATTTGTATTGGTTATTAAACTTTAAATTATATAGATTATTATTTTAATTATTATTAAGATTGTTTTACTTTTTATTATTCAATTTATTTTTAATCTTCAATAGAATTTAGATTATTTGTTTTTATTTTTTTCATTATTTTATCTTATTATTATTAATCTGTTTGTTGAGGTTTTTTTTGGACTGTTTAGAATTTTTTTTTTCCGTTTTCTTACTTTTTAAATATTAAATATCCTTCAATCCCAAATTATTTTAAATAAGAGATTATTTCCATGATATTATCGTAAGTAAGGTATTTTAGAAACTTAGTAAATCTAGCTCTTATAGATTCAACTGAGCGATTAAGTTTACTTGATAATTCTTAATATACTTATTAATTAATAGTTTCGTGCTTACCAGATGATTAAATTATAATCAAATCATCAAATAAATTAAATAGCTCTTTATGATAGATACTCTTTTATCTTTATTTTTAATAATTTTAGTTTTCAACTATAAATTTTTCAATTATATCCCTAAGTTTTATAGTATTGTTTTGTATTTTCTCTATTTTTTTTTATGGTTTTATTGTTGAAGGTATTTATTTTTAAAATTTTTGAGATGTAGTTTGAGCTTTTTTCTAAATTTTTAATTGTTCTTTTTGAGGAGTATTTTATTAGCTTCTAGTTATTCTTTAAACTGATGATTTTTAAGAAGACATTTAAAAAAAATTATTTATTTATTTTTGTTAATTATAATTATAAAATATTTATTTTTCAAAAAACAAAGATATATATAAAAAAAATTCTTTTAATTTTTTCGTTTTTAGAGGTAAAAAAATCAAAATTTAAATTCTATTAAAATAAATTTTATTTTAATATTAATAAATATAATTTTTTATATCATAATGTGGTTGTAGCTCAGTTGGAAGAGTGCAAGATTGTGGCTCTTGCGGTCGTGAGATCGAAACTCACCAACCACAGTATTTTTAATATTTTATTTTTTTCTAACAAAAAAAATATAAGATCGTCTATAAATATAATAATTAATAATTTGTAATTATCTATGCTTTTTTATTATATTTACTAATTATTGTTATTTATTGAAATTTTTAATAATTTAAATTTTTTAAATAATCTTTAAAAATTTAGGATTAATATTTTCTTTACAACCAAAGAAAATATCTATTTTTTAAACAAAAATAAATACTAATTTTAAATATTTACTTATTAAAAATATTTTAAAAGTTAAACATAAAATATACATATTAAAAAATATAATATAATTATAATTTATCATATAATAATTTTTAAATTTAAAAATTATAAAATTGATATAAAATAATACAATATAATATATAATTAAATATAAATAAAAATGTTTTATTTATTTTAATTTTGCTCTATTAATAAATTTTATTCCTATAAAAATGTAAAATATTTATAAATTAATTTATTCAATTTAATATATTATTTAAAATTATAATATTATATAAAATTATTCGATTTTTCTTTATTATTTTAGAATATTAAAAAAATATATTTTTAAATAATGCTAATTATAATATAATAAGTTTTAAGTTTAATCTTTTTATCATTATTAAAAATAATTTTTTATGAAACATTTTAATTTTTTTTTTCATTATTCTAAATATTTACGGTTAATCTATTTTATGTTTTGTATAGCATTTTATCTATTTTAAATATTATTAAAATTTTGAGTTTTTAAATGCGGATAATTTATAATAATATCATATTAATGATATTTTTTAATTAAAAAATAAATAAATAGTTCAATTAACAAAATTTTTGCGCTCTATGAAAAATTAGATAGATTTAATTTCAAATTAATAATTTTATTTAGATGATAATTATTTTTTTATTTTTAAAAATGTCTACATTTAATATTTATTTATTATAAATATTATGTAAAAAATATCTATCTTAAAAAAAAAAATATTTATTTTGTTTAAATAAAATTAGAAATAAAAAATTATTAAATAAAAATTAAATATAAAAATTTATAAATATTTTTTTTTTTTAAAATATATTTACAAAAAAATTATCATTTATCATATTTTATTTTCGAACGACACTTTTTCTTTACTATAATAATGTTTTAATATATTTTAATATTTAATAATTATAAATAATTTTTTTATAAAATTTGAAAAATAAAATATAAAAATAATACACGAAAAAAAATAATTATATATCAAATTATAAAAATAAGAAAATATAATTCCAATGTTTCTTTTATATTTTTTTCTTTCTTTATTTATACTTTAATAAATTAAGAAATTAAGAGAAAAATAATTAAAGAATAAAAGAAAAAAAACTAAAAAAATAAAATAAAAATTATATATATGAAAGTTTAGTAAAATAACTTAAGCGTTATTCATCAATTATAATAAGAAAATTATAATTCACAAAATAACGCTTTATAATAATTAAATCAAAATAAAAACGGTATAAAATATCTTAATTACAAATAAAAAAGAAGAAGAGAATAATAAAAATATGGTCCCCATAAGAAGACGATCTTCTGCGAAAATTTTAAACTTAATCTGAATTTAAAAATAAATGGGACATTATAGCTTAGCATATACCTGGCAGAAATCCCTCTTAATGTTCATAAAGGTGGCGTAGATTAGAGCCTAAGCCAAAAAAACCATAATGGGACGATTAATAAGATTAAATTGTAAAGGAATTAGTTGTAAAATTAAAAAAAATTGGGGATTAATAGCTAATGAAATGGAATAGTAATATGGATTTAAGAAGACAGGAAAGTAAATAAGAGAAAGATATATAAATAAACTTGATCCAAATATAAAAAAGGTAGCATGGACGACAGAAGAAGATTAGATAATTTTAGATAGTTTTTTGGAAATAGGAGCTAAATGGTCCCAAATTTCTTGCAAATTAAACGGAAGATCTGAAAATATGGTTAAAAATAGATTCTATTCTCATATAAAGAGATATTACTTAGGATAAGTTGAGATAGGAAATAATAATAATGATAATAACACTAATAGTAATAATAATTAAAAGATTCTTAATTATATTAACCATAATAATATAAATAAAAATATTGATAACGATAATAATAATTTATTTAATAATATCTATTTTAATAAAATAAAAAACAATTTTTTAGAGAATAGTAAGGAAATTAAAGATTATAGTGAAGATGCATCTGAAAATAAAAATGATAAAAAATCTAAAAATAAAAATTAAAGTGTTGAAAAAAGCAATTAATAAGATAATACAAAATTAACAGTAAATGTTTAAAATAATTTATAAAAAAATAGAAACTTTGCTGTAGCCCCGTTAAAAATTAATAATAAATATAATATCTAAGAAGAAGAAGATAAAGATTAACTTATATAATCAACTCTTTTAAAATAAAATTAATATACTTTAAGTGGTTTTAATTTGTTAAATAATAAAGTAGCAACCCCATATTTGTAAGAAAATTAATATTATGATGGTTCATTTATCTAATAAAACCAAACATTAAATACATTAGATTATAATAATATGCCTTTATCAGCATTACATATGAACAATAATTTGAAATAATTACAAAACCCATAGTTTAATTAATAAAACTTTTTTACAAAGAATTTGTAGTTACAATAATTTGAAAAAAATTCTCCTTCGAATTTTTTTTTCATGAATTCTCCAAATTTATAATTAAATTAATAAAAAAGAATGCATTTGTTTTCAGGAACTGGGTATGGAGGATTAGGAAACGGAACTCCTGGTCCAATAACACCTTTAGTAAATCCCAATAGCATTAATTTAAATTATTAATAGTATTATGGATAATAATAAGGAGTACTGCCAGGTTAAAGTTGGAATTTGTAAAAAAGCAATTTATGTTAAGATGATTTATTATATAATGGATATGATTATAATTTTTTATTAAAATGAATAGTTAACAAGAAAAAATAAATGATGTTTCATAATTAAAATAATAAACATAAAATTAATAATAAATATAATAACAATAATAAAATTAATAATAAGTATAATAGTAATAATAAAGTTAGTAATTATAATAATCATAAATGCATAATTAATAATAAAATGCCAATATATAGTTATTCATGCAACCATAATAAAATTTATTTTAAAATTTTTAAAAACAACCTTAAGATACCAATTAATAGAATAATTAAAAATAAAATGAAGTTAATTAATAAAACCAAGACTCTTAATTTATTTAAACATTCATTGAAAAATTCAAAAGTTTTACTCCTGAAGTTTAATAATATATAAAATAAAAATTTAATGTAAATGAAAATTTAGATAACATAGAACTAAATAGTTGAAAAATTAAAAACTTAAAAAAAAAGTATTACATTATTATTGATTTTAAAAAATATTAATTGATTTTTAAAAAATTATGTTATTTATAAATATATATTTATTAAAAAAATGGTAATAATAGATATTTTAATATATAATTCAAAATTAGATATACATTAAATAAAAAAAATTTAAAAATTAAAAAATATAAATAAAGGCATAAAAAAAGAATTATATAAAAAAGAATAAAAAAAATACAAAAAAATAAATAAATGAAAATAAAAGTATATAGATAAATAAAAATATATATATAATTATATAAATATATATATATATATATAAATATATTTATATACATCAAATTATTATTATAGAAAAATATAATTATTAATTATATTAATATTTATAAATATTTTTTAAAAATATTAATTATTTTTATAACTATTTTATTTATTTTAATTAATATATAAATATAATATCATTATTTTTATATATATTTTTTATGACATATATTAAATAATTAATATTATTTTCTTATTATTTTTTATCAAAATCTTATTTAAATATTTATTTTGTTAATATTTTCTAAGTAGTTTATTTATATTATAATAATTTATAATATTTTTAAATTATTTATATTTAATATTCATAAAATAGTTTTTATTTCTTTTAATAATTATATTTTTACAATATTTAAATAAAGTAAAATAAAGATTTAATAAAAAATTAATATTTATTATTATAATCATATATTTTTTTCATATAATAATTATATAATGTAATACAAATTAATTTTTAAATTTTTTTTTTCATTTTATTATTTATCAAATTATTTAATTATAAATACTAATATTAAAAATATAAAATATAAAATATAATATTATTAATATTGATTTAATATTAATATTTAATAAAATTATATTTAATTTATTTTAATTATATATTTATAATATAATTCTGCTTTTTTATTGTATTAAATTACGCCAAGAAAAATATATATATTATTAAAATTAATATCATATGCTAAATTATAAATATTAATATTTTAAAAATTTAATACAAATATTATTATTTATTATATTTTAATTAAATTAAATATTTTAAATTTATATAAAAAAAAAATTTAAATAGACATAAGTTTTATAAAAATAAATAAAAATAAAAAAATTAATTAAATATATTTTTATAAATATATATGTATGTATGAATA